TAAACCATCACATCATCAAATTAATATTTAGTAGTCCTGCCATTGGCACGTAGTAGAGCTCTAATCCTGGCTGGCATGTTCCCCACGAGCCTTTCACACTGTTGAGGGGTAATCTTGTCCCATTCTTCTTGAATTACTGCTTTTAATTCTTCTAAATTCTTTGGTTTATGCTTTGAAACAGACCTTTTGATAATCCACCACAGATTTTCAATGGGGCTCATGTCCGGGGATTGAGCTGGCCAATCTAAGACCTGGATACTGTGCTCCTGCAGCCAAGTTCTACTGGCCTTGGATGTGTGGCAAGGGTCATTATCTTGTTGAAACATCCAGTTTTTACCTCAACGGAACAGTGCACGCACAGAAGGGAGCATGTGGGTTTCGAGAATGGTACAATACTTGGTAGAGTTCAATGTGCCATCACAGACAGTGATATGACCAACACCAGCAGCACTCATGCATCCCCAAACCATGATACTGCCTCCACCATGCTTGACAGTAGGTACTGTACATGCTGGAGATAATGCTTCGCCTGGCCTTCTGCGTACCCTCACATTAGTAGGAGGAAGATAAAGCTGGAAACTGGACTCATCTGACCACAAAATCTTCTTCCAATTCCTGGCTGTCCAGTTCTTGTGTGGCTGGGCCCAACGACGCCGGGCTAACCTCTGTCTCTCATTGATCAGGGGCTTCTTGATAGCCTTGTAGGACCTTAAGCCATGATCTAAAAGTCGGCCACGTACAGTGCGGGTGGAACACTGGACACCAGTTTGGTTTGACCACTGCTGCTGAAGCTCCTGTGATGTCATTCGGCGGTTTTGCCTGCACATTCGGATCAGGATGCGGTCATTTCTTGCTGAAGAAACCCTTGGACGCCCAGATCTTGGTTTGTCTTCCAAGCTGTTGGTTCGTCTGTATTTCTGCAGAGTGTATCCAACTGCTGAAGGACTGCATCTGCACTTCCTGGCTATCTGGCAGCAGCTGTACCCTTCCTGGCTGAGAATCTTTATCTTCAGGCGTGTTTCCTGTGTTAGGTTCCTTGTTTTAGCCATTTTTGTGTCTGAAGAACTTTCAAATGTGCTGGCTTTATGTAGACACGAAGCTTGGCAACAAAAATTGTGTCTTTTAATAAAAAGAACGACCTTCATCACTGGTACCAAAATGACCCAATACTCAAAATTTCTTATGTATTTTTATGGAACCAATCAATTTTAAGTTTTTAATGGCTTTTTTAGGATTTATTTAGTATTTTTGGCTGTGACTATACTAAAAGAAATTGCACTTGAAGACCTAAGAGTGATTCTTAATGCAATTTTTCACAAATGCATGGGGTGTCCGAAAACTTTTTTCCACCTCTGTATGTGTCAAATGTACACTTGTAATATTATATAATTACACAACATTTGTTTCAGTTGTTATTACCTGACACACTAAGGCCTCCATAGTTAATATGTGAAACATTTAATTCTCAATTTCTGTATTCCTGTGTCCTTTGGGGGACCTGCCTTACCTCTCCCCTTTTGCGGTTGTACTCCATGGGAGAAGTAGTCATTTCTGTGTTTAATGTCAGAAACCAACGAAAAAGGCGTCATTTTACGTCGGCATGATATGTAGTCAGTTGCTGTTATAGTTTAACGGCCCTTGGTGTTGTCAGGGTAAACACGACAGGACAAGGACGAAAGTTAAGGTGGCGAAAGTCCGAGTGGGGCGGGTGGGTCAAACAAACCATGACTTTCACCCAAAAGAGTGGTGTTCATGTCCCGTAAGATTCTAAAGCCAAACCCTGTTCTTTTTTCCTAAACCCAACCACGTGTTTTTGTTGTTGAAGGAAAAAAAAGGTGTTGTAAAATTGTAGTACTTTTATTTTGAAAGAGACTGTATGTAAACGTTACATTTCCTGTGAAAACAGAAGTGTGTTTTGAAAGAAGACAATGCATGTAACAGAAGTTGGCACGCGTCTCAGAACATCAACACCCAACACACCCAGGGTACCTTGCACGTCGTATGTGGACGTGGAAAGTCAATGAGCAAACGTCAATATGTGACTAGGTCGGAGTGAGCGTGTGTTGTTTTGGACAGTGACCCTCCAGTTGGGAACCACTGATCTAGGATGTGCTGTGCCAATTTAATGTCCTGTTTTAAATTTCTTTCCTTTTTATTCTTACCCCTGCCATCCTCTCAAAAAATAATAAAGACATATTTAAGAAATGTGAGGAAAGAGTCTATGAAGTTAATATAACATATATTTCTCTAAATATCTGAACGATTAACCTAAATATTTCAGCTCTCCCTGAACATATACTGTCTTCCTTTACAGTCCAACACTCCTTGCCCTTATTTCCTATCTGTTGTTATGTCACCTCGGCCCCTCTGCTGCTTATCTCTGTCTCGGAGTGCTGCGATAAGTCTTTGGCCTTCTTGTTCTGGCGTCCTCTGGGAAATGCTTTGTAATATGTCTCTCTAATCTCCTGTTTGGAATAGTTTTATACCACACCTGGACATGTCCCACAGAGTCAGACAGTGTTTTACAACCTGTGCAATTAATGAATAAAGTAATAAAGTACAAACCATGCAGGCACATGAACTTTTTTATTATTGTTCATTGAAGGTTTTTATATAATGAGTTGGCAAATTCCTCTTGTTTCATTCATGTGGCCACATTTATACATACATGTGTAAAAAGGGAAATTAATGAGGGGAGAAGCAAACAAACCAAATAAAAATTGTACTAACAATAGTACATTTTTTAAAGAAGGCACTTGACCTTGAGTTTCAGAAGAGGACTTTTATTTTTAAGCAAGTAGCTATCCATTCTGGTATTGGTGCCTTTAATTTAGTAAAGAATTCAATTTCAACCACTGCTATCTAAATGTATAAATGTGGCCACAGGAAAGAAACAAGTGAAGAATTTGTGGACACATTGTGAATAAACCTTTCAATGAAGTAATAATAAAAAAGTTTAAGGACATGCGCGATATGTACTTTATTACTTTACTCATTAACTGGACAGGTTGTAAAACACAGGCCATCTATGTGAGACTTCAGGCATTAAATTAATTTATCTATGAATAAGGCCATTAACATGTCTTAAATTAATCTTTCAAAAGTCTTAAACATGCAAGGACACGAGGAAGAAGGATTTTATGAATCGTTCTCTTCCTGATGTTGCATCGTGTAATCTCAAAATAATTGGTAATATCCATTATTAAAACAATTTAACGTCACATATGTAAGGATAGAGGAACCAGCGACACTCGTATACATTTGCAACATCCAATCAAAAAAAATTTAACCTTTTCTAAAATATTATGAATTTTTTCCAGCATTTGAGGTAGATCTTAAAGTAACTTTATTGTAAAGTTGGTACAAATCTACATATCTACGAATCTATGGATCTATGTATCTACCTATGTACATGTCTATGTATCTACGTATCTACCTATGTACATGTCTATGTATCTATGCATCTAGCTATCTATGTATCTACATATCTACGTATCTACCTATCTACATGTCTACATGTCTACGTATCTACCTACCTACGCATTTACGAATCAATGGATCTACTGTACGAATCTACCTATGTATCTACGAATCAACATATCTCCATGTTTACGTATCTACCTATCTATGTATCTACGTATCTACCAATCAACACATCTACCTATCTACATGTCTACATATCTATGTATCTATGTATCTATGCATCTACCTATCTACATGTCTACATATCTACGCATCTACGAATCTACCTATCTACATATCTATGCATTTACCTATCTATGAATCTACCTATTTACATATCTACATATCTACATGTCTACGTATCTACGCATGTACCTATCTATGAATCTACCTATCTACATGTCTACGTATCTACCTATCTATGTATCTACGCATCTACCTATCTACATGTCTATGTATCTACGAATCTACCTATCTACATATCTATGCATTTACCTATCTATGAATCTACCTATCTACATGTCTATGTATCTACGAATCTACCTATCTACATATCTATGCATTTACCTATCTATGAATCTACCTATTTACATATCTACCAATCTATGTATCTACGTATCTACCCATCTATGAATCTACCTATCTACATATCTACTTATCTACCTATGTTTCTACATATCTATGCATTTACCTATCTATGAATCTACCTATTTACATATCTACATGTCTACGTATCTACGAATCTACCTATCTACATACCTATGCATTTACCTATCTATGAATCTACCTATCTACATATCTACATGTCTACGCATTTACAAATCTACCTATCTACATACCTACATGTCAACCTATCTATGCATCTACCCATCTATGAATCTACCGATCTACATATGTATGTATCTACATATCTACATGCCTACGTATCTACCTATCGACCGATCTACCTATTGACCTAGCTGCCATAAATATCTATCTACCTACAGTATCAATCTATCTATCGACGTATTTACCTACCTACCTACCTACCTATCTGTCTACCAGTGTACGAATCTACCGGTCTATCTATCCATCTATCTACGAATCTACCTGTCTACCTATCTGCATAATCTGCATAATCTACATATCTACCTACCTACCTACCTACCTACCTACCAACCTACGTATCTACCAACCTACCTACTTACGTATCTACCTACCTACCTACCTACCTACCAACCTACGTATCTACCAACCTACCTACTTACGTATCTACCTACCTACCTACCTACAGAATAAAGTTTAGAATAATGCATGCACATTTTATTTCTGATTCTGCACACAAGTAGGACACAGATAAAATGGTTGGCTGAACCAAGCTAAATATTTAACACTGCCGAGTCACGGTGACCCCTGTACAGCCTCGGCCAAGAAGTTAGTGTGTCATGAGACATAGCTGCCATATCTGCTCTACAGCGTCTCAGAGGTCAGCCAGAGTTCAGGCACTCATGTGAGCCTGTAACTTTACACTGACAAAATAAAGATTAATGATCCACATGTATACTGCACTGAGCTTTATTTTATTCAACATCATTAAAAAGGCAGAACAACACAGGTTAAGGTAAACATATATTAAATATCAAGGCAAAAATCTTTCAAGGCAGATAAACCGAGTTAATACTACGAGCACATATTTTGTTTTACAAAAAATGTCATAATATAAATAACACTGTTATTGGAGAGGCGTTTAAGAGCCTCTCCAGGATTTAATCTGTGCATGAGACAGAACTGCAGGGGTTAAAGTGCATTACAGAAGTCTGGTCTGGGACACTGTCTTGAGAAATAGTAGATATCATCACTGCAGTCTTTCTTTGAGAGAACACAACCATGAAAAACCAGAGGCACAGAAATTCTAACTGAGGCGTTTCTAAAACATCCTCGTACACATTAAGGATCAAAATCTTTTTACATCTTAATGTGCGACACGAAGCATCACAGCGTACCTGGGTTATTCTTTAAATGTGTTCTCCATAGTTACGAAGCACTGGACCAAAAAGCTGCTTCCTGAACTTCAGCCATGAGCCAGCAAAGCACATTTCATGGAGCAAAGTCTCCTCGTCTGTCTTTTAATGTGCATGTTATGTCATTTAGACATCAAGAGTACATCGTCTTCATTCTTGAGCGTGCAACTCTTGTTGCTGTGAAATGTTGTGAGTCTTGAAAACACCGTCAGGCGCATCTCCACTGTAGCAGCTCCTTCCTGTTCACATCCCTGTCGTCACTCTGTCACTTGACTTTTTTATCTCACCTGTATTTCGTTTACAAGCTTTTCGTTCAACTTTTCTCTTCAGGACTTGAGTCCAAAGCGAGCCATCATCTCCTCATACACTGTCCACGCCATGGCGGCCATCATGGTCCTCCTCAGCGCCCGTGGAACCGCCCCTCTGAAGAAGCCCTGGAGTCTTTGTTCCTGAGATAGAGAAGATGATGGAGGACAGGCGTCAGATATAATCAGTAGCAGTATCATGCAGACGTGACTGTACAGTTGAAAGACGGTCTTTTCAACTGCAACTAAAGTTCATCTTGACATCCTGAACATCGAGATAATAAAGAGGAGTGAGGCAGTTACCATGTAGATGTTTCTGACAGCCTCGAGTGTCCTCAGCTGTGGATTCACTTGGACGTGTGTTTTGACCACATCGGCAGGCTGCGTGATCAGGGAGGCCAGTATACCCGCTAGGATCCCACAGCTGAAGTTAGCCAGCGGGGCCGAAGCAGACGTGCTGATTTCTTGAGGGGAGAAAGACAACGAGTAAATATTTCATTTAAATACACTTTTAAAAACAACTACCTTGAAAAATAGAGCCTAAGCAAGACCCACATTTTTTTGTGTCTTTCAATTGTGACTTTTTTTTGCTGCTGGTTACTACTAAATGACCTCTGGGTGTGAGCTTACCTTTTGGCAGCGAGGCCTTGGCCTGGCTGTAGAACATGACGTAGATACCAGAGAAGGGAACGTCTCGGAGGAGAGTGGCCATCAGGCCGGAGAACAGAGCTGCAGGACCTTCAGTTCGACACACACTGCGCAGAGCTCCAGCCACACTCCCATAACTGTACTTGCCACACTGAAACACAAAAATATACACACATGTAATTCAGTCTAATACAGGCGTAACACACTTGTCTACATACGGTCAGCACAGAAAACTGAAAACACATTTTTATAGCATTTTGATGTTTGTACTGATTTATACTGTAAAAACTCGACAGTTACCTCAAAGCGTGTTTTGATGACAGTGACTGGCAGCATGAAGACCCCTGCCACAGTCCGGGCCCCGCCTCCCAGCAGCACGGCCTGCACTGCGCCCGGGCTGCTGTCCTGGAAGAAGTGCTGCTTCAGAGAGTAGTAGGTGCTGAAGTAGAGCCCCACTCCTGGGATGGTCCGAGCAAAGGACTGGAGGAGTGGGTGGATGAGAGGGCGGAGTCAGGACATGGAAAATCTGACAGTGATGAATTTGTGAGCATGTTTTCAAACACACAAAAGGACACAGGGGTCGACAGAGGCGACAGCATGAAGATGGTCTCACCGGTGAAACTCCTTTCCACAGTCCCAGCAGCCTCTCTGTCCGCACCACGCTCAGGACGACTGCCATCATCCCCACTCTGCCCGAACTGAAAGGAAAGAAGTCATCAATAGTAAATGGCTTTCACATGAGGCCAACATGCTGCATGTCTGATTCTACTGAGGTAAAACTTCCTATCGTGTTCGTCCAGTCAATGAAACAGTTTTTGGAGGTCATAGGGCACGAAAACATGTGGTGTAAGCTGATATGATAACTGTGCATGTGTGTGTGTGTGTACACAGACTCACCCAGGCTGCACACCACTCTGCAGAGTCTGCAGACGAGTCTTAACCAGGTCAAGAGGCTGGAAGAGCAGCGTGGAGCAGGTCCCGCTGAAAGAGCCACACATGAAGGCTTTGATGGCCGGGTGAGCCTGAGGGGAGATGCAAGGGGAGGATACGAAGGAAGAGGAAGAGAGGGAGGGTACAAAGAAAGACAGAGGTGTAAGGAAGAAGGAAGAGAAGGTTGGCAGAGAGCAAAGAGAGAGATGACGTTACATAACATCAGCTAATAAACATTTGACGTACATTGATGGTGCTCAATTGCCTGCAGGGATTACATTGCCATTTACGTTGGATTACAGCCCTCTCACTCGATACTGAATCAATTTCAGAAATTGTTGCTCCCATCCGTCACGTAGACATTCAACACTTTATCACCTATAGTAGTTATGGAAGTAATATTCGTCATGGTACTATTGGCGGCTGTAGTAGTAACTGTAGTAAGACGACCTATGACCAGTAAATGTTTTAATGTCCTTGTGTTACATGAATCCCTCAATTTTTGGTTATTTGAGGGTGTTTTTTTAAACGATAAGGTTTTTTATTTTACATTAAAAAAGTTCTTAATTGGTATGTTAGTTTCTAGAAGTTATGTCGGGTCAAAAATAACCAGCACAGCTTTGAAGCATGTATTTTTACAGCGCAGGTTAACCAAGCCTTTTGATTTATTTATTTATTTTCCTGGGCTTGACACTAAAATTAACTCTGCCTCATCCTACAATCTGCAGCTCTGCAACCTCCCTGCATGACCGCTCAGAGAAAGGAGGTCATCAGCGTGTCAGACTGGTGTCATCGGTCAGACAGGATGCCCTGACCTCGAGACAGCAATAAAGGCACAACGACAAGAGCAGAGCAGCAACGATTAATCGATCAGTTATCAACTATTATATAAAGAGGCCAGCTAAGATGATAATCGATTAATTGAGACAAAAAAAATTAAATTCTTTGATTCTTAAATGTTGTCACTTTGAGCTCTGGGAATCACTGATCGACACTTTCCTGACATTTTCTAGACCAAACAACTGACCGATTAACCAAGAAAAAGTTAATCAAACATGGAAATAATTGTTGGCTGCAGCTCAAGACAGACTGATCTCACTGCTCAAACTGTAAAAGGATTAAATAAAACCTCACAGTGATGATTAATATCAGGTAAAACTCACCAGTGACAGCTCCATAGTTCCTCAGGATATTCCTCAGTGACACAGTATATTATGCTTTCCCTCCTCTTGTCGCTCTGTCACTCTGCTGCTGTCCACTCAAACTTCTGCACACCTAAAGAGAGTCAAAATGCAAAGTGGACTCTCAGTCAGACAACCCAGTCTTGAAGGAGCATGTGCACAGTGCTGCTGTCTCCGTCAGGCTGTGGATGATTACACCCACACAGCAGTATTTAGCATCCACAGGTCACATGACTGACACAGCGTTTCCTATTTGTGAGCACCCGACACACACAGCTACTCATTAACTAACCAGAGATCAGCGCGCGACATATTAGGATGAAACTGGTGCATGACACTCTGTTGCATGGATCATACGTGACTGTGGCCTGGAGCTGGAGATGGATTCAGCACAGAGGGGATAAAAGTCTGGTGACACCAGGTGTTGCCTTGGTTTGTGGTCACACACATAGAGTTTAAATTTTAATTTAGTTAGACTCCATGAAGAAGCACACATGTATTCTGCTGCAATCACACAGGTACATAAATGTGTCAGTAGATAACATCAATTACCTAACAACATAATAACACCAATATCACTTGAAAGTCTGGAGATTACTGATGCCTAGATATAACTTAGAAAAGTGCCATTAAAAGTTACTTCTTGTTGAGGCAGCGGCTAAAAATCCAACTCGTAGTAGCAACAGATCAGATTGATTTTATAGCACAGAGTACAGTTATTCTCAGAAAATGTTCACAAGACAATTACAAATGTTCTTTTCAGTATATATAAGTGTACACAGCATCATTTATTTTATTTTAAATACACTTCTAAGTACCATACTGTGACAATTTGTGAAGCACAAGGCAAATAATCCTTTATTCTCTGTACGTTCATCGAATCACCATGAACCCAGTGCACGTGTACATTACATAACTACCATATTCATACACTGTGTTTACTGCATTGTACTTTATTGCACCAATATTATTCTTTTATCAGTATGAGAATGTGTTGTGGAAGAAGAAAATCATTTGAAGTCCAGTTATGTGACTGATTCAGAAAGATTTTATTCACGGTGCAGTTGAGACAGAAGTTCACAACAAGGCTGCTGAATTCTGTCCAAAGATCAACATCAACGTCAGCCTAAAACAATGAGCTGTGGGCTCATCAAGACGTCTGAGTGACAACAATTAACAGCTAATTAACAATACAATCTGATTCAATCTGCTGTAACACCTTCAAAACCTTGAAAAGTGTCTTCCTGGATGAAAAGTTAAAGATTTACACACTGAGATCTGTTAATCAATGTTAAATAGTTTGTCTCAGCCAGAGAAAATGTCAAACTGAACAGCAATGGTGGGAAAAACTGATACAGCACAGTATCTTGATATTTGGTGTTGAAATATCGTACACATAGACGCCAAGTACCGATCTGTTTAATTAAATGAATGACTAATATTGCAGTTAAACTTTTGGTAGCCGACTATACTAATAAAATCAACTGTTTTTTCAGATGTATTCGCTGCAATAAAAATGATTTGCTGTGAGATGAACGGACTGAAAACTTTATTTTATTAGATAAAATCAGAGTTGACAAAGTTCTGGAGTGGCAGTAACATTTGCAGTTGAAAATAAGTAATAAATTGCATTACGTGTTATTGCAATACTCAGCATATTGCAAAACATTTTAAATATCAGTAATATTGTATCATAAAATATTGTGATAATATTGTATTGTGATGCCTCTGTTGATTCCTGCCCCTGCAGGAGCTTTTTATATCAGTGTGTACAGTTTACCTTGGATTGACCATATCTTCGTTTTCAGGCACCCTTTTTTTTTTGCATTATATTTACGATCGCAGCGGTATACCATGATATGAAAGTTGGCAGTTATCATACTGAGTACATTTTTATTATCTACGATATTGAGAAAAGAGCATGAGACAGAGAATCTCATCTTTATTTTAGATATTTTCAAAAGGGAAACATTTTACAACTATTTCCATTTAAAAAAATAGTTTCAAGTTTGAATTATAGCAATAAAAAGTTTGTTTAACCCAAAATAACCTTTTGATTCTTATTCCCTTTACAGACTTATAATAGTAATAATAATGATAACAATAATAATACCATGAAGTGCAGTGTACTTTGTATGAATATTATCATATTCATTATTATATGATTAATTGTACATCTTATTTTTGCATGTTTGCACAGCCGAGTCAGTGATCACTTTTCACTCCCTTCTTAAAACATACTTTTATTAGTGAGACTTTCCTGATTTTACTCGAGTTACAAGTTCATTTATATTGTTTTTATACACTAAAGTGTTTTTAGCAGTTCTTTGAAAAGTTGTTGTTTTCATTTCCTTATTGACATGTAAAGCATTTTGTGACTGTTTTGAAAGGTGCTTTATAAATAATTATTATTATTAATGCGGGCTATTATACATGTATTATAAAGTGCACAGCTTTCCTTGCATCTTTACATATATTATTTTTTAATTTACTACATTTTGTTACCTACTCTGAATGCCTCTGCAAATTGCCCCATGAGGACAAAGTTTTTTGAACTGAATTAAACTCAAAGATCAGGTGTGCTGTGTTTTCTTGCTCATCATGATATAATTATTAATATTTTTATACTGGCAACTGAAATGTTACACCGTGTTATAATCTACATGTGGTGCCAGATTTATCACTTTATATCAAATAAACCGCGTAAAAATAGCCAACTTCCGGTGTGTTCTGTAGCTTACCTGTTCAAATGTTCTGCAGTGTCGCAGAGAGATGTCACAGGTCTGACGCCGCAGTGTAATCCATGAAAAATAGATCAATAAACGAAAAGGACACGGAGAGTAAAACACTCTCCTTCTTCTTCGTCGACCTCAAATACAGTAGCTGGTGCGCACAGTGTTAATTTGTCGCAGTCAAGTTCTCTCTTCTTCTACAGCTCGTAAACTAACACCAGCAAAGTTAAATGTCACCGTGAATTCCTCAGACCGTCTGTAACACCGAGACACACCTGAACTGCAGCTCTTTACCGGAGCTCTGTGACATTAAACGTGAAAACTAAACATCTTCATCACAACGTTAAACCGGCCGGTTCCTGCTTTTGATGACGCGCTGTGTCGTAACTAAGAAAGCCCCGCCCACAAAGAAGCCGCTGGCTTCTGATTGGTTAAACATCTTACCGTAATGTGAGTATTAGAAGGTCACCACTTAATTGAATAACTGAGGTAATATAAGCGCATGTTCATCTTTTAACTTCTCAAAACTTAAACATTTATTCGGTGGAATATAAAACTACACTGACGAGATGAAGATATTGGAATTCTGACACTGAAGAACTTTAAAATATCGCGGACATCTTCACCAGCTGCGTTTGGTAGCCACTTTCTGCACCATTTCTACCGTATTCACTGGTGTAGAAAGTATTAAAATTCTTTACTAAAAAACAAAATACCACCAAAAATTACCCATTCATTACAAGTAAAAGACAATATTTACAGAGCTAAAAGTACATATCAGTAAAATACACTTAAAGTAAAATAAATAAATGAGTAAGTACACAAAAAGAAAAAAATAATCCTGTAATATTTTATTCAGATATATTAATCTGTTTTTTGCATTACATGAATTTATTAAGAGTAAATGAAATTGACAATAACAGCTAGGACTGCAAAAATCAAGAGATGTAAGGATAGGAGAAAATTATTAATGCTTAATGTGTATGTGTATAAATATTATTGTCTCTTTTAATATATTATTGTAATATTATTATTATTGGTAGTAGTGCTTTAATGTGTACATTTTATATAAAAACATTATCAGTCATTTTAATAAATTATTATCATTATTATTATGCTTTGATATCTAGCTATGTATTGTCATCAAATATTACTAGTTTTTAAATATATGAGAATAATAATAGTGATTAAGTAATTAATTATGATTTAATGTCTGTTTTGTATATAAATATTACAAGTTACTTTAATATATTATTATTATTATTATTTAATGATTTAATGTCTAGCTATGTTTTGTATGTGATCTTTATTTTTTAATTTTATTTTTCAATTATTTTTTTTTATTTTTTTTTAAAGTTATGTTTAATATTGATAAATAACCAGAAACTAGAGTCAAATAACTGTCGTGGAGTAAACAGAAAATAAAATACTGAGGCACCTCATAATTATAGTAACGTACAGTGCCTCAGTAAATGCACCGTTACTTCCCAACACTGAGTATATTAAAGACATTTAAATCACAACTGTGTTTCTACAAACAGGAAAAATAACTTTTTAACTCGTCTTGTTTCGTCACGTGATGAATCAAATAGTTTAACTGAAGTCTGTCTGATAACAGATTCATGCAGGAGGATAAAGTATAATAAATAAATAAATAAATAAATAAGTTCTCACCTAAACGTCTCCATCCTTGTTTACTGAGTTTGACTCAGTTTATGGTGAAACCGGTTCAGACCAGGTCCAGACCTGCTGCTGCTCTGGTGGTCTCTGATGGAGGACCTGAGCGCCCCCTGCTGGTGGAGACACAGCATGTCATAAACAACTACAGCAGCCTCAGAGAAGGTTCAGACTGCAAACATGACTTTACTAATTTAAGTAAGTAATTACTGATCTATAAACCTCTGAAAATCAGGTCTGGAATGTAACTAAGTACATAAGTACTGTACTTAAGTATAAATTCGAGGTACTTTATTTGTGTGTTTCCATCTTGTGCTACTTTAAACTACCCAACAGTAAATAAATCAGTTAAATTGAGCGCAACTTTAAACATGTACAGCAGAATAATGTGACACACACATTACTCCACATAACATTGGAGACATTAATCCAATAACATCAGGTAGAAAAGGAAAATAATTACAGGGAACATTTTACTGCACATTCAGTACTTTTATTTTTCAATAATTTTAACTACATTTTGCTTATGGCACTCACACATTTTGACTTTAGGGGAGATATTACTTTATGTGCATATTTAAACATCAAATTCCTGAAGTCTTGTAATAGAAAAATAATTGTCATAATATAAGTAATGAACTGGGTAACTTTCATGGGCTCTATTATATAATCTTTTACCTAATTCACCTGTAGTGTCTAATTATTTTGTCTAGAAATCAGCATTTTTTCAGAGTATAAGAAAAAAAGATTCTGTTTCTCATACTCTGAGCCAGAAATCTTCACTCCACTTCACTTAATTAGTTAGATACTGGATTATTAATTAGATGGTGTGTCATTGTCTACAAACGCATTTTGTCTACAAACGCGGCATTTTACAATATACATCTATAAAGGTAATTTTCTCAAAATTAGTTTTTCTCATACTCTGAGTCAGAAATCTTTACTTCAGTGGCACTTAACATACACCAGACTTTTCAGTTTTACTCCTGTCTATAATCATATTTATTATATGAAGGTTTTTACTGAGGGGTTTCTCCATATTTCATCCATAGCCTGATTTATAGAAGATTTTATTCCTAAAAACATGAAGAAAATATTTTTTTATGTCTGTTGACAGTATTTTCTGATTTATGAAGTGATATGAGAAAAAAAACTTGACTCTTAACATATCAACCAAAGGAAACAAAAATTTTAAACCTGACTTAAACTAATGTTCAGATATCTGTTCTGGAAATGTAAATCAGCTCATATTTAATTAGATAATGCTTAATTTGTCTGGTCTCGAAACTGGGTGCATGCTGAGTGACATCTACTGTAGGTGATACACTGACTATGGATAAATATGTCACACAACCTCGCCACAAAAAATCCAAACTATCCTTTTAATTAAGGTTTTGAACACAGGACTTTTACTTGTAGTGGAGTATTTCCAGAGTGTGGTATTTGTACTTTTACTAAGGATCTGAAAACTACTTCCACCACTACTAAAAAACATAAACATCTAGTGCTGCTGCCGTATGAGATTTTCATGGTATAACTGTCTCAAAGAAATATCATGGCTTCACTGTATTATTACTACCAGTCTGAATGTTTTATTTTTATGATTTAAACTTGAAGCTTTTTTTCTGTGTAAAAAGCCTCCCTTTTGACAATAACTAAAATAAAGTTGATATTTTCCGACCAGTTGCTTTTTTTCTTTTCAGTATCATAGATGAGCAGATGTAAATGTAACGTTAAACGTTGACGTTCATACCACAGTACACCTTGAAACCAGTGTACTGCCGCAACCCTATAAACCAGTGGTTTCCAACTGGTGTGTCTCAGTCCAAAGTGGGTCGTGGGTCCATCTTGAATGGACCACAGGTGACTCCTAAACATGTCAGGGTTGTAAAAACACACTTTATTGTGAAGTACAGTTAATTCCAGGCAGAAGCTTTTATTTTGAAGTGCTGTTTCCTGTTGCAGAGTGAGTGAATAATAGACAGCTACTGAACAGAGACAGCAAACTAGCTTGACGATATAGCCAAACACAAGTATGACACTGACTGTATTAAACACCTGAGACCAAATCTGGACCAGGTGGGAGCCACTGATATAAAACATCAGTATGAGAGGACAATGAAGACACAGGAAGTCGACACGTAGCAGTTTAGAAAGCCTCTTTAATTGCAATAATACCAACATTTCACAACATGATTTCCATTCCAGAGGTGCAGACGAACATTACAAAAGAACCGAGGAGATGCGGCTTTTCTTCTTTTTTTTTGGATTTCATTTGTTGTTTTAATTTATTTTAAGTGCGATCTTTTTTAATTATGAGCTGTTTTTCTTAACAACACATTCCTCTCACTTCCCAGCAGTGTGAGCCTGAAAGCAGCCCCTGAGCACAGCCTGCGAGGGGTTAACATCATCCTGACAGAGAGAGCTGTTCATCTGATACTCAACACCTGGCCACATGTCGCGTCTATGTGAAGCCCTGTCAGCGTGGTGTACACAGGTTACAGTGATGAAGAGCGCCACTACCTCCACAAGCTGTGCTCTGAGAATACAGTGTGTGCTGTGAGTAATAGACTACCCCACCACCCCTGTTCAAACTTTACCTTGAACAGAAACAAAAACACTGATAGTGATAAATGTAAAAAAAAAAAAAAAAAAAAAAAAATCAATGCATATCCAGAAGAACAAAGCCAACAAACCCTGCCCAGGAGAATTCAGCTGCATTTTAAGGCCTTAGTGTGTGTTGGCAGTCTTACTAAATGAGCATGTGCCCAGTCTTTCCAAAAGCTCCTCCATCAATGTTTCACACAGATGCAGTGGTTCATAACGTCAAGGCCAAAGTGTTTGTTTTTTATCTCAGTGCAAAATTAAATTTCAGCACAGTCACAATCAGATGCCTTCAGTATGCGTCAATGAGTCTCCAATCAGGAAATCTGCCTCTAATTACCACGAGAAATGTGTGTGTGTTACATAGTTAAGCCCAAAAGCGTAGTCACGAGTACTAACTGCAGCTAAATTGATAGAATACATTTCCGCATATAAACCTTCATTATAAACTGAAGCGAGAGCGCGAGCATAATAAACACGAAGCACTTCCATTCTTAACCATTATAAAAACTTCTGCATAAAATACAATTCTATAGACTGAGATTTTAACTTTGGTCCCCTTCCAGTAATCTGTCTTCATTTGTGTCAACTTCTCTCTTTGTTTTCTCTTCTTCAATTAGAAAAATAGATCCTAAATCAGGACTTTCACAATTGGAATGTTTCCTTACAAAAATATTTTTTTCCCAGAGAATGAAAAATGAAGCAAACGAAAAATTTGGCCCAAAAATAACAACGTGTGTGTGTGTTTGTCAGCATGGTGATTGTCCAACTTAACTGGCTTCTATGTGTGTGTGTGAGAGAGTGTGTTGAGAATGCATAGATTGTCAGTGTTACAGAGATCAGAGCGTCACAGGACTGAAGGTGTTTGTGTTCCTCTCTGCTCAGTAGGTACAGTAATGTGTGCTCGTATGTGAATTTGGATCGGTCTATGTGTGATGCGGTTCTAAGGAGTCGAGCAGCACTGTGGCTCTTCACTCAGGCTTGGGCTCCGGGGTCTCGGGGGTCTTGGGCTCCCCATCCTCATCACTTTCGAGGCCACCGCGGGGAACAGTGCGGCG